AAAGATTAGAATTTTTCCATTCGGCAAGTTCAGCCGGCGCGCATTAACAAAAAAACTTAACAAACAAAACAAATCTTGGGTTTTGTTTTTCTTGCAATTTAATAAATATACGTAAATTAAACCACTCGAGTCACCAAATATATAAAATAAAAGTGACTTAAAACGTAAGTGCGACAAGAGACGAACCAGTAAGAATAAAAAGACTATTAGCAAAATAAACGGCTCCGGCTACGTAGTTACCAGCTCTCGCACCAGAAAAGCCCACGAAACATCCCAAAGGCCAGGATTCGGCTCAGCGGCACACACCAGCCATATCCGCGACGCCGCTAGCCAAGCGTCGGCGCAACCCTGAAGGCGACGAGACGAGCCAACAACGACCGGGCTCCAACAGCGAGAAGCGGCCACAGGCGAGACCACATCCACATCCTCCGAGTGAGTCTGTTCCATTTTGCCCCTCTTCGTTCGAGTCCTTGGCAGAGTCAGACGAAGACTCCTGATTGTACTCCCTGAAAAAGTGCAGATTTTTTTGTCGTTGTTTTTGTGGGCACATTGTTCCTAAATCGGCGCAACGATTGCCTCATAATTGCTTCCTTGTTTGTCTCTTTCTGCGGCGACTAGCAATAACTTTGCAGTGTTTCGTCGCCTGTTCCATGTAGTGCTGTTAAAATAAAAAAATAAATTCTATAATTTAAGTAAACAATTTAGAAATTAATACACATTGTCCATAATCATAAGTATATGCAACATTAATACGCACTTGGAGAAGGAATGTTCACGTGCATGAAAACTGAATTATCTGAATGGAGACACAATTAACATTAATTGTTAATAATCATAAGGAATGCAACCAATTATACGCACATATTGAAGAGAGAAATGTCCGGCTATGTCTCACTGGATAAGGAGAGGGGGCATAAAAGCCGACACGTGCTGACATAGGCCGACAAGTGGCCAAATTATTAATAAGATTTGTGGGTAGACGTTTATTTATTTAATAGGAATTATTGGTGACGTTTTTTTTTGTATTAGGGTTAGTAATACTTATAGTAGAGAAGGGTACGGTTTTCTGAAGGGATCAGTATGGCTGAGGAACAGGTGTCTGACTGGATTTCTGACGCTGATGGGGCGTCTGCCACCGCCGCGCCAGCTGGAGGGCTGGTGCGAACGCCAATGAATTTCCGGAAGAGGGTCACCTGGTAGACTTAGAGAAAGAATTGGCGCAACAAGATAAACCTCCACAGAACCTGGAGTTTCCGAAAGACTCAGTACTCACATCGGCAGCAAACGCGGCGATAGCTCAGGCCCACCAAACGTATCTGCATGATCTGCCATCTGGCATCAGCGAATCCATCCGCGAGGAGATGCGAACAGGCTTCATGGAGATGATGAAGGGCATCATTGATGTGCTTAGGCCACCAGGGAGCCGCACCGAAGAGACTACCATTGCGCCCAAGCGGGCGCCATCCCGAAAGAGCGAGAAGGGATACAGCGCGAGGCATTTCCACCACCGGGGCCGCCGAAGCCACACAGACAGGGCGCGCGAGGAGCGCAGTACTCATCCAGTAGCCCAGTATACGTTGCAGATGCTCAGTCGAGGAACTGGCGTAACCTGAATAACCGCAATTTCCGAGTAGAGGACCGGAGAGCAGATGATTTTCAGCCGGAGGAAGCGTATGCCAACGTACGAGAGACGGCGTACCTGAAGCTCGAGCGGTGGAACGTCAAGTTTGACGGCGAGGACGCGATGAATTCAGTCGAGGACTTCGTGTTCCGCCTGGAGTTCCTGCAGAGGCAGTATCAATGCCCATGGATGGAGGTCCTGCGCGGTTTCCACCTGCTCCTGACCGGCCGCGCCCGCGAGTGGTATTGAATGCACGTGCGGCATTGTAGGGTCGACAGCTGGATGCAACTGCGGCATGCCCTCTTGGACAGGTTCCGGGGCTACCAGACGGAACATGATGTGATGCAGGAGCTATTACAACGAGAGCAACAGGCCAGCGAAGGGGTGGATGATTATAAACAACACATGCGTCAACTCGCCGCGCGATTCCAGAAGCCGCTGAGACCGCGAGCTGGTGAAGATCATAAAGCGTGGTTTGAAGGAAAGTCTGGCGAAATACATCTATGCCATGGATGTACTCACCGTGGATGAGCTGCGCCAAGAGTGCATACAAGTGGGTACGTGCAGCCGTCGCGTTGTTCACAAGAAACGAGGCCCGTAGTTCACGAGGTTGAAGTACCACCACATCGTACAGAAACGCCGCCTGGAGAACTGGAGGAGGCATTCGTGCGAGGCAGGAACTCATCCCGGATTGTATCCCGGATTGAGACGGAGATTTGGGATAAGGACCAGGATAAGGCTATTTATAATAATATAAGCAAAGGAGGAACACTTAGGGGCTTACCATACGAAGAACGTGTTCGGGCATACATGTCGGCCCGAAATAGAATTTTTGGTGAGCGACAGCTGGAAGGGAAGACACTAGCCACCCGAAGAGTGGTGATCGCACTAGGATAGTGGATACAGTTGGTCCGCTACCCAAATCGGAAAATAATAATGAATACATAGTCACATTAATATGTGACCTTACAAAATATTTAGTAGCCATTCCAATAAAAAGCAAAAGCGCAAAATTTGTCGCAAAAGCTATATTCGAAAATTTCATACTCAAGTTTGGTATAATGAAGACGTTCATCTCGGACATGGGAACAGAGTATAAAAACCAGATTTTAACTGATTTATGCAAGTATTTGAAGATCAAGAATCTCACCTCTACTGCATATCATCATCAAACATTAGGGACAATAGAACGAAGTCATCGAACTTTTAATGAATACATTCGTTCATACATCTCTGCAGACAAATCTGATTGGGATGTCTGGATTCAATATTTCACTTATTGCTTCAACACGACACCATCAGCAACGCATGAGTATTGTCCATACGAACTAGTATTTGGCAGACTACCGAAACAGTTCATAGATTTAAACAAAACTAATTACATAGATCCTATTTATAATTTAGATGACTATTCTAAGGAAATAAAGTTTAGATTAGAAATAGCATACAAAAGAGCTAGAATTATGTTAGAAAAAGCCAAGGCTTATAGGAAATTAGCATATGACGAAAAAACAAAAAACTTTGAATTAAAAGTAGGAGATAAAGTACTTATAAGAAACGAAACAGGGCACAAATTAGACCCAGTATATTTAGGACCATATATAGTAGAGAAAATAGAAGATAATGACAACATTTTTATTAAAGATAGTAAAGATTAAAAACAAAAAGTTCATAAGAATAGATTAAAAATTTTTAATTCTTAATAATCCAAAATTCTCTTTAGGAATTCAAACTCCAAAAAATACCAGAAAAAAATAATAAAATAAAAATATATGACGGCCTGATCAACCGAATGAAAAAAAAAAATTTTTACAAATAAACGAATTATAAATTTTTATACCTTTAATACTTTGTATTTTTATATCCTAACATTTTTAAATTTCTTGTTATATACACAAAAAAAATTTCAATTTTTATTAAAAACAAAAAAAAAAAAAAAGAAAACCTCAATAATTAAGTTCATTTAATAACAACACATTCATAATGTTACGTTATTTCTCTAAAAGGGGAGGTGTAGTGCGTATATGCGCTTACAGAATACCCTGTACTTAAATATAAAGTATGCAGCACTTTGTTGCATACAATAACAATAATATAGTAAACAAGCCCAGAGCCACATTATGTATTGGCTCGGTCTCATATTACGCAGCGCGGTTCACTAGCGTCACTAGCTGATCGTTTGTGTTTATGCTGCATATCCCACGCTCCGTCTGAGCGCATTCCGTGAGCAATATATATGCTCACTAATACAGGCATATGCGAGCTACTCACTCTCCCTCTCTTTGTAGCTGTTAACGAATAACAGCATAAGTATATATGTATATCCATAGGCTAAGCGAACATTATAAAAACTGAATAAATTTATTCTGAACCAATATACTAAACAGCACTGACGTGCTGGCTTTTTCATTTAAAGAGTGTTCTTTTTACACTAGGTAGACTTATGCCCTTAAGAAGAGAACGGGTAGATTTGTGTTGAGCAACGAGGCCATATATGCCATAGAAAGCTTGAAGTTAGCCCTCACCACTGCCCCGGTGTTAGTTCACGCGGAGTAGGAGCCGTGTTGTTCCAACTAGACGACGAGCAACAGGAAAGGCCGATCGCATTCTTCTCGGCCAAACTCAGCAATTACCAGATTAACTTTTCGGAATTAAGATTAACTATTCGGAAGGAATGCCTAGCCGCCAAACTGGCCATACATCGATTCCGGCCGTACGTGGAGATGATGCCGTTCACAGTAATCACCGATCATGTGAGCCTGCAGTGGCTTATGAGTCTCAAAGACCTGAGCGGGAGATTAGCCAGGTAGTCCCTAGAACTATTCAAGAGGACAGTGCACGAAAGATTGGCGGATGAGGTCAAAGGCACATGTTGGAATCTCTGGGTGCCGGAGTCGCTGACTGCAGGTCTCATTCAACAAACACACGCGGACGAGACGTCAGCTCATGAAGGCATGAGGAAAACGCTGCACGCGCTGCGCAGGCGATATTTTTGCCCAACATGGCCATACAAGACAGGGACTATGTGCGGAAATGCGACACGTGTAGGGAGACCAAGGCACAAAATTACCGGAAGCAGGTCGGAATTGGGGAAGAAGTGCGCACCGACCTCCACTTCCAGAAGATATACATCGACTTCTTAGGGAAGTGTCCACGGTCAAAACGAGGGCATGCGTGGATATTCGTCGTCGTAGACCACTTCTCAAAATTCACCTTCCTGAAGGCCATGAGGGAAGCCACCGCGGCGGAAGTCGTGAACTTCCTAGTGCATGAGGTGTTCTTCAAATTTGGCGTGCCGGAAGTGATCCATTCGGATAATGAACGACAATTCGTGTCAAAGTCGTTCGATGCGATGCAGATGTACCTGAATGGTTCCAGTTATAAACTGGCCAGGAAGCTGAGATCATTGGCCGATCACAGTATTTCTGACCTTGACGCGAAGGACAGACTGGCTGTAATCCGAAGCCAAGTCAAGGAACACCTGCATACCGCGTACGAGCGAAGTCGCCAACGATACGACCACCGCGCGCGCCAACTCCACCTGGAACCGGGACAGGAAGTGTGGAGGCGCAACTTCGCACTGAGCAGTTTTGGCAAAGCCTTCAATCCTTGAAGAACCGCTTCGTCCGAGCCGTGGGTACCAACGCCTACGAGTTAGAAGATCTCCAGGGACGCGTGCTAGGCGTTTTCCATGCTAAAGATATACGAACATAATCGTAACTTGCTCACCTCCTTGCCAGGCATTGGCGCGGCAGCGCCCGTCGTTCCCTTTTTTTTTGGGTCAGCGCCGAAAGTATAGATTACTTGTCGTGGGTGTGGCCTACGGCATCCTTATTAGCCGGCTGGGTCAATCTAGGAAATGCGCACGCAGATTTCTTGTAACGGTCGTTCATGTCGATGCAATAATCTGCGTGGTGATGTTGCATTTGACGTTATCGCCAGCATCGAGGGTTTGCTGTGTTGGTTGCGTGCGATATTATCGGCCACGCCGATATCTTTTTGTCATATGGTCAGTGTATGGGGGGTGAAGCTGGGCCCACAGTGGAGCCCAATTTATTGAAGGGTGGCAACGCCAGGCTTGCGATCCACGGCGCCAAAAGCGACGATTGCTATTGGCCGCCCGATTCGCTCTTAAACAGACTATAAGGAGAGTGGATCGCATGCCCTTGGATATGCCCTTGGCCTTCATTTGGGCCGTTGACCCAAAAAATGCAGCTGTGCAGATGGGCAGCAACGGTGCCCGCCTCGCAAATGTATGCGTGTGCCGAAATTCGGCCCCGATGTTGCTGCCCAAATGTACAGCCGGGAGTTCGATTTGATCAGCGGTCAACGGCGGGCGTGCCAGTTCGAAGTGAGCATAAAATTCTAGTTTTGCCGTCGGCTCAAAAAGATTAGAATTTTTCCATCCGGTAAGTTCAGCCGGCGCGTAGTAACAAAAAAACTTAACAAACAAAACAAGCGGCCACAGGCGAGACCACGTCCACATCCTCCGAGTGAGTCTGTTCCATTTTGCCCCTCTTCGTTCGACTCCTTGGCAGAGTCAGACGAAGACTCCTGATTGTACTCCCTGAAAAAGAGCAAATTTGTTTGTCGTTGTTAAATTTTTTTTTTTTTTTTTATAAATTATATATATGTATATATACATAGGCACTTACGCCAAGCTTCATTTTAGAGTGCGAACAGTGAGGGAAAACTCCAAAGGTGATGCGTATGCGCCTGTAAAATATAAAAGCTTAAAATTTAACACTTGCGCGAACTATACTTGAATTACCCATTTATATCGCTCCTTACCACCCCCCAGAGAGCTCTTTAGGTAGGGTAAGGTAGAATTAAGCGATTTAATACATATATATATCACCTACCTGTTGCACGACTGATTATCGTGACATACCCAGTTCTAAGAATTTGTGTGGGCACATTGTTCCTAAATCGGCGCAACGATTGCCTCATAATTGCTTCCTTGTTTGTCTCTTTCTGCGGCGACTAGCAATAACTTTGCAGTGTTTCGTCGCCTGTTCCATGTAGTGCTGTTAAAATAAAAAAATAAATTCTATAATTTAAGTAAACAATTTAGAAATTAATACACATTGTCCATAATCATAAGTATATGCAACATTAATACGCACTTGGAGAAGGAATTTCACGTGCATGAAAACTGAATTATCTGAATGGAGACACCTTATAAATTAGAAAGAGATAAGACACATTAATTGCTAATAATCATAAGGAATGCAACCAATTATACGCACATATTGAAGAGAGAAATGTCCGTCTAAGTCTCACTAGATAGGGGGAGGGGGCATAACAGCCGACACGTGCTGACATAGGCCGACAAGAGGCCAAAACGAGGGAGACAAGTAAAGGTGATCGTCTCATGGTAGGGTGGGTAGGCTGGGTCCGGAGCCGGGACCCGATCTGGAAAAGTAAAGTGGATAAATAGTGTTTCTTTGTTAATTTATATTAGAGTCTCACCTTTGCTTGTTTACATTTATTTGTCGCAGCTGTTTATGTTGTTCATTTGTTAGAAGTTCCGATTGTTTGTTGTTATCGATTATGTGGTTCATTTTGAATAGTGTTGTATAGGTATGTTTTGCTACAGACGTTGTAGCTTTGTTGTTATCGATTGTACGGACTGCGGGCCAGGGATGGGACCACATCTAGAGAAACCGATGAACCAGCCGGCGCGGACCTCTGAGTAACAAGCAGTTGCGTAACAAATATTCCCTTAATTAAAAGACATTTTCTGATTTGACAACAATTAGAGCATTAATTTTATTAAAGATGGTTTTCTCTATGTGCAAAAGGTGACAATACAATAGGCCGTAGAGATCTATCGCAAGATCATTGGCTCAGAGTTCACATTATTGCAGTCGCAAATGAGCAGACTTACCACTTTCCGTAGACAAAAGACTTGCACGATTTCCCTTTCTTGGTTGAGGGTCGGGCGAAGGAGTCCTTTTGGGTGCACTTACGCACATCCGGGATTCCAGATTGGCCAAATCTGAGATATTCACTCCAGCAACACTTCCCGACCAGGCCTTGAATTTTTGATCTGGAACACGAATTGCGTGAGAAGTATAGGCGAGACGATCGACGAATATATCCAGGCGATGCTAGGTCGGTTCCAGTCTGTACAAACTCGACACGCTGCAAGGGGTGCCCTAGGAATATTTCACACCAAGGACCCGAAGCAGTAGGCGTAAATTTGTACCCGGCTAACGTTCACGAATTGCATCTATACAAACCTCAGAAGCTGCGTCGTAGGGAATCTCAATGTGTGGGCGACGGCCTACGTTGGCGCCGGCGAAACAACGACAACAGCCGCAGCGATAAAGCCCGATTTTCAATCCGGTTTAAAAGGCAAGCATCCTAGGCGTGACTCTGAGCACTTTTGAAAGGGAGACCGGTTTTCGTTGTTGGGAAAAGGTTCAGAAAAAGAAAAAAATAGCCAGTGCAAGCCGGCCGCCAAAAATTTAACTTTAAAAATATTAAAAAAAAATTTTTTAAATGGTGACAACAATTTTTTTATGTGTTTGATATATGTATATGTCTACGGGCTTACGCTTGTGAGACTGTGGAAACAATTACGACATTCTCATTGTCACATTCACTATACGCTGAAATCTGAAATATTTCCTAAGTGCCTTACGAAACCATGTTGGCTCCAAACTTATACGTCGCCATGTACTATTGGAATGTAATCGGAGTGTGAATAGTCGGTAATCCGAGCATTAGTCACTGTGAGGAACCGAAGTACCACGGTTTTTTAAAGCAAAGACAATATAAGCACTAAGAAATCGTTGCGCTCTCACAGCCGAGCGAAAGAAATTATTTAAATATTTTTATCGACTTTAAAATACAGATTTTCTGCGGAGCCCACCTCAGTACACAACATGCATATTGTACACAACAATACAAATTTAGGATAGGTCATGATCAGCGCTAGAAAGTTATGAAAATTTATTTCTTTACCAGCCAAAGCCAGAGCAGTGAATAACAACACATATATACATATTTTGATGTAGTTATGCATGCATAATTCACACATACAAATATAGGTGCTTGCACGCCATTGGCTGAGCTTGTTTACGCTTCTCTCGAGCATACACTGTCAAAAAACAAAAGTAAAATCAATCTATGTGTGCTATTTTCCTAACATAGTTAAATTTTCCTGTACATTTTATCGTTAGTACCTAGGGTTATAGCTATAGTAAATAGGGTTATAGGTTATAGATCATTTAAAGAAAGCATGCATTTCATGGATAAAGCAAAAGTACGTTTACAACTTTTTCGCTCAACGTACTTTGAAAACAAAGCGACGCAAAGTACAAACGACCAGCTGTGCTGAAGGCAGGCAGGCGACTAACTTCATGTTCACTAACTCATGTTCATGTCAGCATAAGAAAGCCGCGACTTCGGAATTCGTTCGTCTGAACGAACAGCCGTCGGCAGGCATGGGGGAAAGGCCAGATGAAAGGCCATGCTAGAAATTTTGCTTCGCATTCAAATGTATGGACGTTACTCATCTTATTGTTTATATTGTCTTTGCTTATAGTCTGGGTACGAGAGCTAGTCGTTTTCAGAGGCCAATACGCCTTATGGCTTGACCTTTTCTGGCTCCGCTCTTGTGCCTTCGTCAAATACAACAAAACCTAGGAATTTAACGCTAGTCTTAACAAACTTCGACTTTTCTTGAGCCACTTTCATGTTTGCACTGGTCAGGCTTTTTTAGACCTATTCAACATAGCATGTCTTGCCGATTAGTTCGCGCAGAACGTCATCAATAGCCCTCTGAAATATGCCTCCTGCGTGTTTGAGTCCAAATGGAAGATGCCAGAACTCATACTTCCCTCCGTTAACAGAGAATGAAGCCTTTTCTCGAGCGCATTTTCAAGTAAAATTTGATGATAGCCGGACTTTGATTAGACAAGATTTGCTAAAATAATTGATATATCTGGCATCGGGTACTTGTCTGGAATAGTCTTTTCGTTTAGTTTATGAAAGTCTATAACCATCCGCTAGCAGTGTCTCGTTACAGTCTGCAAAAACTTTACCTCTGTTTTCGAGCATTTTAACAAATTTGACCTTTGCCTCCTGTTGTGAGTCAACATTATCAATTTTGGTTAAATTACCATTTCTGCATTTATTTCTTTGATCCTTAAGCTAATGACAGCGTCTATGTGTATTAACAGATCTAGACCGCTGATACCGTCGAAGGTTTTTGAGATATTTTTTGATCTGGGAATGGAATGGATCGTGAAGGTGGAATCTACAGGGACTACGTTTTCTCAGCCTGGGATGGGCTTGATGTATTTTTTGGATCATTTTGTCGATTAAGAACTTCATCGTTACCCCCGCTACATTTCGCTGTACGACGTCTGTACGGATGGCAGAAGGGACCTTCCACTAAAAAATGTATATCATCACCATCGTACTCAGACTCATCTTGTATTGTAAGCATCCGACTCTTGAGCTTCTTCTTGAGCAACATGTTTTACCCTTTGCCTTCTTAGCCCGGAGACCCGCTCAGAAGTACTTGATCTTTTTCCTGCCCTCGGATGGGGAGTGGGCTGCCTGAACCCTGAAATGGAAACGTCTACATTCATTCGCTCTGCGGATTTTGAATCACGTGTATTTTTTTGGGATTGCTCGGCTTGGCGCTACTCGCCATGCATATTGAAGGAAGGCCTCTTACCCTGTCCGTAGAGGACCCTGTTCTTTAGACTGCTGTTGGTTCCTAGAACGCTGCGCAGATTTATAACCCTTCTACTGTGGGCTTCTGGCATAATTCACTGCAAAGGCGTTTCTGTCATGTTTTGCTTCGATAAAAGAGGAAGGCTGCCAAGTCGGAGCGTACCAAGCTATTGTTCTTTGCTTATCACTATATACGAAATCGGGCCTACTAATAATAGCATCGAAGCAAATGGGAGTGTAAAATGAGGTAAGTGCGCCCATGATTTTACTTCTGAGTATGATAATCGCCTGATAGTGGCGAGAGCTACCGTCGTACGGATTGAAAATATCGTACGAGGCTACTACGCGTGTGTCTCCTACTTGCCCTCGAATTCTGTTAAGCACTTCACAGCATTTACGGGTTCGTCTGGTATCAGATGTGCTACCCTCTATTATTTGAGCATTTTGATAGACTTGAATTTCAGGCAATGCGTTGTGCGTGCTTTTGAGCTTTCCTCTCAAATCATTTATTTCACGGCTAAATTCTCCCCGAATTCTTCTATCTCTCTGTTCATTTCGCGGCACTTGTTGCGCTAGTGCACTCGTCACTGCAGCCTCTCACGTTATTGCTCTGAGAACGTCTTTTCAGTACAGATATGTAATTTGTTGCCGCTAGTAATTAGGGATTGAAGGACACAATCATCGCCGTCGTACTCTCTGTGGCCTTTAGAACTGTCTGACTTAACACTAATTCAGAATGTAACCGATACCCTAACATCGGTAGTCTACTTTCGGCCAGTAATATTTGTATTTTTGACACTTTTTTGCTTAGATTTTTAAGGTCCAGCGAGTTACAAGACATTTATAAATTCGCTGGGAAAGATGGTTTAAGGG